CACTGCACTTTGATTAAAAATCTGGCTTTGTTTAATATCTCTCTCCATCATTGTCTGGGGTTGAAGATTTCAGCTCTGCCTCTGGCTGAGATGATGGTCTGATAAATTTGTTCTGCAATTTTCTGAAACAACAATTATGGCATTAATGTACCAGTTGAGAGCAGCTTGTCTCCACAGAGGAAGTATGCTAAGGACTAGAAGTCAGGAGAGGTGGGTTTTCTGTTCCTTGCTCTACCACATCTCCTCCCTGGGCCTCAGCATCCCCATCTATAAAATGAGGCTTTTTGACTTAGCCTTACAATGTCAAGTTAATGTCTGCAGAATGCTTTTGGCATCCTCCTGGTCAGCATGTGTTATATGCTGTTTTCTGTACCTAGTCCACAGAGGATATGACTCTGCTGCAGCTCTGAGGACTCTGATCTGTAAGCTCAAGCCATCGAGTCTCAGGGGGTAGCCATGTTAGTCAGTAACTGGGGGGAAAAAACTGAAAAAACAACAAATGGTCCTGTAGCACCTTAGAGACTAACAAAAATGTAGATAGTATCACGAGTTTTCGTGGGCACAGCCCACTTCAAGTCATCAAGATTCATGATTGATCTCTGGATATCACATGCTCAATTCCCAGTAATGATCCAGATAATGGGCATTATGCTTTGAGATCTTTAGGTTGGTTCATTTACAGATATATATGATATAATTGTTTATGCTGCTCCCATGAACCTGTCCCCTGTAGAATGTCACACAGGCTGGCATAGGTAATTTTACACACAGCTGATTTTGCCATCTAGTAATTGAGAAACTGTTGATTTTGGCTGCCTTCTCAGGTGTTAAGAGTGACCTCTAGTTTAATGAGGAAATATTTGTCTAAAGTAAGCAGGGTGGTTTCCCTTGTGAGCCTGAGAGAGTGACATATGTGTTATTCTGTCACGTGGTGGAAGACAAACAGTTTGAAATAGTAAATATACAAGCTTATTAGGTCTGGAATGGAGAAAACTTATGTGGCAGGTTAAAGTCTGTAGAGGTCTCATACTGTGATCCTGACCAGCAGGGAATGGTGTGGAAATAAAAGCAGGGAATGATTGCAGGAAATGGTGTGGGAAAACAAGCAGCAGGCAAGCTCACAGCTGCTCAAGTCCCAGCCTCTCCTAGGAGGAGAGTGTTTGTTTGCAGTGAAATGCAGAGCTGCTTCTCTCCACGCTTCGGATTCTGCCCTGACACGAAGTTCACTTTGTTCTGGAGCAAAAAACAGGACTATGTAGCACTTTAAAGACTAACAAGATGGTTTTTTAGGTGATGAGCTTTCGTGGGCCAGACCCACTTCCTCAGATCAAATTGTGGAAGAAAATAGGCATGACCATATATACCGAAGGGATACAATACAAAAAAAAAGTGAACACACATAAATAAAAAGGACAAATCAAATTTGGAGGAAATTTGGCAGATAAGCCAATCAGTTAGTCCTAGCTGGTTTCTGAGTTCAACTCATGCTCTTGTAGTGAGATGGATTAAACAAGCACCATAGCCCCTCTTTTCCCACCTTTATGATCCTCCCCAGCTGCTGGCACAGTGTCTCAGAACTGTCTGTGGGCCTTGCACAATGGGGCAGCACAAGTAGCCACGCCAGTGAGAGATCTGCAGCATGTGACAAATGTGGGAATTTAATCCTGCCGTGGTTGACAAAGGGGCCTTTCTTTTCCTTCGCTTGCTGAGCTGCTCTGCAGAATTAGAATTAGCATGGGGGAATGTGCAAAATGGGTCTGGCTTCAGCTTTGAGTAAATCATCTGGCAGAAAAACTCCATCATGATGGTGTTACTATTTCTGTGCAAGCTGCAGCCCTCTTTTGGCTTCCCTCTTTCATATAGAGGGGGAAACTCTGTAGCAGACATCCCAATGAGATACTGGCAAGCCAAATACACTTCTGTAGTTGTGGGTTCAGTAGGTGGGCTGCTGGCTTGTCCCACAAGCCCTGAAAGGACTGATCCCATTCCCAAAGTCTAGTTAACTTCTAGCCCCTCTTTTAGGACGTTTATAATTCAGCCACAAAACTCCTGAGTTAACACAAACTCAAAGGCTGTGTCTAGACTGCATCCCTTTTCCGTAAAAGGGATGCAAATTAGACATATCGCAATTGCAAATGAAGCGGGGATTTAAATCCCCCCTGCTTCATTAGCATAAAAATGGCTGCCGCTTTTTTCCGGCTCGGAGCTTTGCCGGAAAAAAGCGCCAGTCTAGACGCGGATCTTTCGGAAAATAAAGCATTTTCTGAAAGATCCCCTATCCCTCTTAAAATGAGGACTATGTAGCACTTTAAATGAAGGATAAGGGATCTTTCAGAAAAGGCTTTATTTTCCGAAATATCCGCGTCTAGACTGGTGCTTTTTTCCTGCAAAGCTCCGAGCCGGAAAAAAGCAGCAGCCATTTTTATGCTAATGAAGCGGGGGGGGATTTAAATCCCCGCTTCATTTGCAATTGCGATATGTCTAATTTGCATCCCTTTTATGGAAAAGGGATGCAGTCTAAACACAGCCAAACTGTTTCTCTGAACATCACAGGATGCAGGGCCACAGAGGCCTTTCCCCTTACAGCTCTCTCCCTGTCACATGAGCTGCCCTATTTCCTTCAGTTTTCTCTTGACATGAGCTCTTTCAGTCCTTCTTAAGAATGGCCTAACCCCTCCCTACCTGGGCTCTGCCTGGAGAGAACACCTCTTCTTAAAACAGGCTCTACCCCCAAACAGAGCTGGCTGGCTGTATATTGAGGGACCTGGTTACAACATGCTCAGATCCCTAATATTCTCTTTTGGCATAGATCGGATTGTACCATGTCCGTGAAATGCACCATAGCTTAGGACTTTGTGGGCTGACCCACAACTCGGAAACACAATTAAAACATGGTTCAGTCTCATCTACACTGTGAGACTGAACCATGTTTTATTTGTGTCAAGGAACTGCCATGTATTGTACTATGGTTGTTGTGGTGTAGATGGGACTTGGGAACTGGCTGGACTAAGGTACCTATATATTTATACCTGCCTCTGGAATTTCTACTACATGCATCTGACAAAGTGGACCTTTGCCCACGAAAGGTTATGCTCCAATAAATCTGTTAGTCCAGTGTTTCTCAAACTGTGCTCCGCGGAGCTCCGGGGCTCTGCGATGTGAGGTTGACAAACTGGAAACATCGATAGGTACAACACATAGAATAGTGGACTGCTGGGGCTCCACATAAATTTTTATGCATGTGAAGGGCTCTGGAGCCCAAAAAGTTTGAGAACCGCTGGGTTAGTCTATAAGGTGCCACAGGACTTCTCATTGTTTATGCAGATTCAGACTAACAAGGCTACCCCTCTGATACTTGTCACCAGGTACTTAAGAGTACTTAGAACCCACTCTATCAGCTTCATTTAGCATGGATACTCGAATTGACTATTCTTTTCCCATTTTTTTCTCCTTTCCTTTCCTTCCTGCCCCCATCCCCTCTTTTTCTCTGCTATTTATTTTTTACCTGGACCCCTTAAACTCCATTCATCTGAAGAGTTGGGTTGTGCCCACAAAAGCTCATGATACCATCTACATTTTTTGTTAGTCTCTAAGGTGCTGCAGGACTATTCGTTGTTTTTAAAGTTTTTTTTTAATTAGAGTGCGTCTACTCAGCACCCTTAACTCGAAATAAGCAATGCAATTTGCACTATGCAAATCGCATAGCTTATTTTTAGTGTATTTCGAAATAGCTTATTTTGTAATTTGGCACTTGTCTACACAATGCCAAATTTCAAAATGACTAGCTGTTCCAAAATGCTCCATAACCCTCGTGGAACGAGGGTTACCAGGACGTTGGAATAAGCCACCTGTTATTTCAAAATCTATTTCTAAATAACGGGCTGCTTCAATAGATGCGAAATAGCTATTTCGTGATACTTCTGGTATCCCAAAATAGTGCCACAGTGTAAATGTATCCTTACAGAGTAACATTGCTACCCCGCTGCATCTTCATTCATGACAATCTTTTCCCACCATTGATGCTGTAAGTTTCTTAATATTGTTTTTGAATGTCACTTATCTAGGGGAATTAAATTGTTCTCCATTTGCATTTGTTTTTTGTCAATTTCATTTTCTCTTTGCGCTCTCATGTAATTATGTTAATTATTGGGTTTCCAGTGCGCTCTCATGATTTTATTTAACACATTTTAAATGCCAAACTATAAAGGCCTTAAAGATACCCACCAAGCTGCTTTGCTGAACTGGCAGAGTACCAGGGTTTAACTGTCAGCTAGCTATGATACTACAACACTTGTAGCTTATATGGAGGATGCCCAAGGCGAAGATGCTTTTTGGGATGGCTTTAATTCTGTCCTCTTCCATAGAATCAAAACATCTTAAAGGCAAGAAATTCAAAGTTACACCTAACAACCTTACCTTTCCACCAGCATATTTTAAACTGTAATTTTCTATTTTTTCCCTTTAGTTTTGGCTATGTTCTTGCAACCTCAGTTCAAACTTAGTGAAGATTTTTCTGTGGGGAAGGATGTCTGAACATGTTTGTGACCTTCCTCCCTCTTATTTCCCTTTAAAAAAATAAAATAAAGCATATTGGACCTATCTGCTTCTTTCTCTGCTTTCCTGAGTAGTGAGTCAATCTCCATAGTACTTAGGTGTCAAATGCACTTATGACTCAAAGAGCTGACCCCGTTGCCACGGAAGTCAGCAGGAGTTGATTCGGGGCCTAACTGGATACTTCTAGCATTGCAATGGTCTGTCCAGAGTGTGGTGTAATAGTGTCCCTGTTATTCCCTCTCTCTAGTTCCCTGAGCATGTGAGGTGCTCTGCAAAGGAACAGGAAGGTGTTTACTATTAAAATAACGTCCATTAGGTGCAGGACTTTCTATTCTCAACAAACACATTGGAAATTGTTGTCTTAATTCTCCTTCTCCACAGGTTTACAAAGAATCTCTCTCCGGACAAAATCAACCTGAGCACACTGAAAGGTCAGGGGCAGCTGACCAATCTGGAACTGGATGAAGAGGTGCTGCAGAATGTGTTGGAGTTGCCCACCTGGCTAGCTATCACTCGGGTCTACTGTAACAAGGCTTCCATCCGGGTGAGTTGGAATACTACACTAATGGTGTGAGTCTACACAGCAGGGCTTAACTCAAAATAAGCTACGCAAATTGAGCTACGTTACTTGCATAGTTGACTTCGAAATAGCTTATTTCAAAATTGAGAGCGTCTACACGGCACTTATTTTGAAATAGAGCTCTCTTTCTCCGACTTGTCTTACTCTTCGTACCATGAGGGTTACAGGAGTAGGCATAAGAAGTCCTCCAGCTTGACAGTATTTCAACATTATTTCGAAATAACTGCCTGCTGCGTAGATGCAGACTAACTTATTTCAAAATAACACTAGTTATTTTGAAATAATATTGCTGTGCAGACATACCCATGGTGTCCTCCAAACTAGGGATGTTAATGGTTAACTGGTTAACTAATTAACTGGTGGCTTGGCTGGGCTGGAACAGCCCCTTCCTGCCATAGGCCTGGCCTGGCCGGGAGCAGTACACCACAGTTGGCGGGCCCCCAGTCCAGCCAGAGCAGCCATGCCTCTACATGGGCGGGGGGATACTCCAGCCCAGCCGGAGTACCTCCCACCTGCATTGGGGGACTGCTCTAGCGGCCCACCCATCCCCCTTTAGGTGGTTAACCAATTAAACATAATGTTTCACTGGTTAACTGATTAAATGGGATTTTACATGCCTGCTCCAAACACAGTGCAGCCCACTTAATGTCAGTTTGCATTTGGTGTTATCTGGGGCTTTTGATAAAGGATGTCAGTTTCCTGAAAATGAAATTGTGGTAACCCAAGCACATGCTGCCCCTCCTTCCTTTCCCTGCCTAATTCTTTAATGCTGAGAGAGTGAAAAAAGTTGCCTTGGCTGTTCACACAAACCTCAAAACAGGAATGTAAATAAACACAGACTGAAATTCTTTGAAAACCTTCTTGTACCGTGAGGTTGTGTGTAGTAACTGTTATTTAAAAATTAGATTTTCAGCAAAGGAGACTTCAGAAATAATGTGCAAATTTGGTGAAAGTCTGTGAAAAACGATTTGTTAGGCCCCTTATCAGCCTCTGCTATCGCAATTACCCGGTTTGCTTGTATAATTGTAGCATTTGTACTTGCAGTCACACTTGTGCACAGAGAATAGGTCTCTTCATCTTGAAAATCTTATTCCAACTGCTTTTTTAGACACAGTTACACTAAATTAATCTAAAAGCATTGAGCATATGGAAAAAACTTTCTGTTAATGTGTGGTTCTGCCCTGCCAATGACTGTAAAAAGGCCTCCTTTTACTCATCTCAGCTGCTCCATGTATTTATTCAGAATTGGTTCTACTCAATTGAATAACAAACACTAGAAATGTACCTGGCATTGCTCAGATCCTTAAGGGCAGGGGGCTGGTGATGTGGCGGGGGGTGGGGGGGCAGGAGTCTTAGCAGGACTTGGGGGGCTCAGGACAGGTAGTGGGAGGTGCAACAGTCAGGGCAGTGGGTTGGGTGTGTGGGAGGCTCAGGGCAGGGAGTAGTGGTGCAGGAGTCTGGGAAAGGGCCTGGGAGGTGAGGGGACTCAGGGCAGTGGATTGGGTGGGAGGGGACTCAGGGCAGGGAGGTGGGGGGGTATCAGGGCAGGGGGATGGGATGTGTGGGAGTGTAGGGCAGGAGGTGGGGGGCTGAGGCCAGTGGGGTGAAGTCAGGGGACTGTGAGATCTAGGAGGGCTTACTAGAGCTGCCTGTGGTGGTGAGGATAGTGCTGCAGTTGCTACTTTTCCCCTAGCTCTTCCTGTGGAGTGGCTGTGGCTGCAGTGGCCAGCCATGGCTACTCTGGAGGAGGAGGGATGGTGCTGCAGTACCCGGCCCCGGCTCCAGCCCCAGCAGCTTCTTGCGGGGGCGAGGGTCTGTGCTGGCTGGCCCCAGTGGTATTCCTCAGGGCCAGGGAGGGAGGGGTTTGGAGTAGGGAGACCACTTACCCGGGACTGGCAATGGAGAGCTCTGACTCCAGCTGACCACTCTCTTCCTGGTGTGGCTGCCCTTCCCCCCCACCCCGTGGTCACTCTGCAGTATAACTGTCCCCTGCACTCACTGCCCACGGTTTATTATCACCTAATAAACCATCTTGTTAGTCTTTAAAGTGCTGCATAGTCCTGTCTTTTGTTTCAGCAAGACCAGACTAACACGGCTACATCTCTATTACTGCCCACAGTGGTCATTGCAGAGCATAGCTGTCCTTGCTCTCAACTGCCTCCCTTTCTGTGTTATGGAAAATAATCTGATGCCAGGCACATCTTGTTTTCCTGGCACAGCCAAACCCTAATCTTTAAGTTAGGGTAAGAGGAAGCTGCTGATGCCAGGCACATCTTGTTTTCCTGGCACAGCCAAACCCTAATCTTTAAGTTAGGGTAAGAGGAAGCTGCACCCCTAGGTCTTACTATTAGAAGGAGTTCTTGAACAAATGGACTCAGAGATGGATGGATGGATGGATTCATGTATGGACAGACAAATGGATGCATAAACTCTCTAAAATATATAGAGAGATTAGTTCTTGCTCCTCTTAGAGTTGCAGAGCAAATACAGGTCAGTTCAGGTAAAATGGATTGTATTCAGGTTTGAGAATCATCTACAGTACTGTTAACTAAATTCCCAGTTACAGCGTGAATTAATTGATTACAAACCTATTAAAGACAAGAGAGTTGGTCATGCATAAGTGAAATTTGAATGTGGGCTGCAGAATGTATATTACTGGTAATGATGCATGAGAAGGAAAAGACAGCCTGAAATACAAAAGCCAAACTGGACTTATTCAGCAGGTCTGAGTCTAGACTGGCATGATTTTGCGCAAATACTTTTAATGGAAAAGTTTTTCCGTTGAAAGTATTTGCACAAGAGGGTGTCTACACTGGCATGTGCTTTTGCACAAAAGCATCCGTGCCAGTGTAGATGCTCTCTTGTGCAAGAAAGCTCCGATGGCCAATTAACATTGCCTGTCTACGCTGGCCTCTTGCACAAGAAAACTTGCGCAAGAGGGCTTATCCCTGAGTGGGAGCGTCAGAGTATTTGTGCAAGAAGCACTGATTTTGTACATTAGAATGTCAGTGTTCTTGCGCAAATACTCACTGCCAGTGTAGACAGGTGGCAAGATTGTGCGTAAAAGCGGCCGCTTTTGTGCAAAATCTTGCCAATGTAGACACAGCCCAGGTCACTGGAACATCTGTGCAGTTGTCTGTAAGTGCGCATTTGATCTGGAGTCAGTGAGACACAGTGAACATGGATCTTCACAGTGCTATTTTTTATGTGATCAGCTCTCAGAGCAGAGCAGGACTTGAAGTGAGTTGGTTCTTGGGAGTTTTCACTGTCTTCCTGAAATCATTCAAACCTCCTCATGCTGAGGCATCTTCTGTAACTCGAGCTCTGTCTTTACAGATCCAGTGGACGAAACTGAAGACACACCCAATTTGTCTGGTAATATATTTTGTTTTATTTTCCCCTTTTTATAATAAATCTTAGCCAAGGGATTGTGCAAAGTTAGCTCTTTCTGCTAAAGGTGTTGAAGATTTTCTGACATAACATCTCAGCTGCTGGTGAAATCCAGCCTGTTGCACAGAGGCTTCTCTAAGGTTACATGAATGTTTTTTTACCACTCAGGCCTCGTAGGCGGTGTCTTTGTCCAAAGAGTATGTCTATACTGCACGAACATCCCCATGGCAGTGAGTCTCAGAGCCTGTGTCAAGTATCTTGGGCTTGTGTGGTGGGCCTAAAAATAGCAGTTTATAGACATTTCTGCTTGGCTTTGAAACCTGGTGAGGGGCTGGAGTCCACACACTATGACTCACCTCCCTCCTTGGATTTCCAAGCCCAGCTCCAACCTAGGAGGGAATATCTACAGTGTTTTTTTTTAATGCCATAGCATGAGCTTGGTGAGCCTCATTCAGTTGACCCAGCCTCTGAGACTAGTTACCATGGGGCTTAGGGTTTTTTTGTTTTGTTTAGTTTTTTGCAGTGTAGTCAGGCCTTTTCGGAGGTTGCCATGCCGTCTTGCGGTCAATTGTTGAGTAGCCTTAGGAAAGAGTACAAGTTCCTGGGTTATGCTGAGAAATGCCCAGGAGACATTTCCACTGGCCCCAGGGGGCTAATATGCTCTAAAGTGTATTATCAGATTATCTCTTTACAAGTAGATGTGAAATCAGTGATAGAGTAGCACTAAAATGCAGCAACCTCTGAGGTTTGGGCTACATTACAGGGTTAGGTTGATGTGAGTTGCTTTGTGTCAACCTATTTGTGCACGTGTCTAGACTCAAATTTGTCTCCAGCTGATATAAGCACTTGTTAGTCACACAGTAAAACCACCTCCCCAAATGGCATAGAGCCATAGTTCATCTACTGAAGTCAATGTAGTGTAAGAGTAGTTATTGTTTGACCTGTGTCAACCCCAACAGCCCTCCAGCAGCTATTCCACAATGCACCATTCTTTGTGACCCCTGACTGTGTGCAATTAACTAACCAGTTGTGACATGCTCCACACACTAGACATGCTGCTGCCTGGAGTAGACAGAAAGCATTGGATAGCTTGAGCCACAAACATAGTTACAAACCAGCTAAGGGGCTGCAGGCAAAGGAGCACGACAGGATTCAGCCCCATTGCCGCATGATAGTGGAGGGTTTGGACAGCTTCCTTACTTTTATGAAAAGTACCCTGTGAGATTTTCAGTGTCCAGGCAGAGCAGATGAGACCTTGGTTTTTAAAGTCTCATTTGAAATATGCACCCGCACACAGGGTGTGTCTAGACTACATGCCTCCGTCGACGGAGGCATGTAGATTAGACAGATCGGCAGAGGGAAATGAAGCCGCGATTAAAATAATCGCGGCTTCATTTACATTTAAATGGCTGCCCCGCTCTGCCGATCAGCTGTTTGTCGGCAGATCGGGGCAGTCTGGACGCGCCGCGTCGACAAAGAAGCCTTTCTTGATTGGCACAGGTAAACCTGGTTTCACGAGGCATACCTGTGCCGATCAAGAAAGGCTTCTTTGTCGACACGGCGCATCCAGACTGCCCCGATCTGCCGACAAACAGCTGATCAGCAGAGCGGGGCAGCCATTTAAATTTAAATGAAGCCGCGATTATTTTAATCACGGCTTCATTTCCCTCTGCCGATCTGTCTAATCTACATGCCTCCATCGACGGAGGCATGTAGTTTAGACGTACCCACAGTGAGTTCTCTGAGAATGATGGAAGGTGGAGTCTATTTTGTTTGTGTTCAATCCTTCAGTTCTGTATGTTTCAAACCTAAGGCCACAATGCTCATCCTGAGACTTAATGTCATATTTACTTCTTCCTTTCTGTGTTTGCAGTACCTGGATAAGGTGGAGGTGGAGATGCGAACCTGTGAAGAACCTCGGCCACCCAATGGACAGTCTCCTATTGCTCTCGCTGCAGGGCAAAGGTTGGCATCCACTCACTCTACCTTTAGTTTTTGACACTGTATTGTTGGAGTTGGGCAGGCATCCATGATTGTCCATTCTGAACAGTGAAGGAGCTTTGCAGAATAAAAGGAATTGTTTTCTCACAGTCTTTCCAGCTGTGAGATGTGCTGTATACGCCTTCATTGTTATGTTAACAATCCTGTCTCTTCTGAATTAGCTAGTACTGCTTGCTGGAATGTGTGGGACAGGAGTGTTTAAGGATAAATATCTCTGTCTCTGGCCTTGGGAGCTAGAAGCTGACTCCAGGAGTTAAACTTCAGCTTCTTATGTGCATTGCATCCTCTCGCCCATCCCTTGCTCCACCATTTATTCGTCTTATGCTGTTCCTGAAGGTGGTATTAAGTGCTCAGGTGTAACCATGGCTGAGGCTAATCTATCAAATGGGGGTGCCTTGGAGCACAGGTGATGACACCTTTCCAGGAGATAGCTCATCTCTGTGGAGCTAGGCTACTTCTGAGCCTTCGGTCAGTCTCCTTTGTGACAGATGTTTGTTAGCACCGGGTCAGCCTGCGCTAGGGCCCCTGTTTATAAAATGATGATTTTGAGGGTTCTCTTGACAGCGAGTATGGCTTTGCCGAAAAGGTTGTGGAGGGGATGTACATTGTTGTCAATTCCATCACCATCAAGATTCATTCCAAGGCCTTCCACGCCTCTTTGGAACTGTGGCAGCTCCAGGGATACAGCGTGAACCCCAGCTGGCAGCAGAGTGACCTGCGTTTCACCCGCATTACTGACACTCACAGAGGAGAGGTAAGAACCTGTCTGTATTGGCAGATACAGCATGCGGGGGCATCTCTTCTGTGGTCTCTGGCAGATTTGGGGTCATAGTTCATTTTCCCTGAATTCTCACATCGTGGTCTCGGTGTGGATGGCTCTAAGTGACTTCTGCCCCACTATCTACAGCATCCACTGGGAACTGGAGTTGCTCTCAACTCTTATTTCATACCTACTCAGAGTATGAAAACCTGGAGAAGCTGTGCTCTCCAGTGCAATGAGTACAGTTTCACTAGTCTTAACTGCGATTGCGCTGTAGAGGGAGGACTACATGCTCCGAGGGCAGCTCCTCCATTTATTACTGAGATCCCAGAAGAAAGATGGTTGCCTCTTCCTTCCCCACTTGCATAGCTATTTCTTTTCTTGCCTATGTGCCGTGTAACGTATCTGTAGTTAAGGTCTTGAAGTTGGTGAAAACCTCAGCATTTTCCTGTTTGTCTCCTCAACTCTTCTCTTTGGGTAGGTTTTGACATTTAAAGAGCTCACCTGGCAGACACTTCGGATAGAGGCAGATGCCACTGACAATGGTGATCAGGATCCTGTTACCACTCCTTTGAGACTCATTACTAATCAAGGCAGGATCCAAATTTCTCTCAAGAGAAGGGTGAGTATCTCCATTCATACCAGGAGTGATTTCCATGGTGAAATCCTGAATGTATCCCCCTGACGAGGAATAGCGTCCTTACTAAATTGAATCTCAGAACAGAGAAGAGGGACAGAGAGGGATAATTATTCCTGTGTCCAATGATGATTCACATGCCCTCCCTTCTCAGTGCTTGTGCTTGCTGTCCACAAAAGAAGAGCCCTACAGGCTGTTTTGCTCTGTGGTGTCAGTGAGAGATGTGCTGTGCTCTTATAGTGTATACTCAGAACAGCTCATTTCTTAATTCAGGAATGCATGCAGCAGGGCTAATGGGTGAATAATCCACTGTCAAATTAATGTAAAAGTATGCTGTGTGCTCCTTCACTGTTTCATTGAACATAAATCACTGCCAGGTTTAATAGTGTGATAAACAGGAGAAGGAGAAGGAGGTACATGCCTCCTTATATCTGACTAGCTTGGAGCTCAGCTGAGACAACAGATCCTATTGAATAATATTGTGGTACCCTGGACACCTGTCGGGTAGATAAATAGCCTCTTTCCATCCTATTTTCTCTCATATGACTTGTGAAGTAGCACATTTTGCAGCTGCCTCATTCCACAAGTCCACTGAGGAATAAATATGGAGATTTAAAATGGTTATATTAAACCAGGCCCTGCTTTCTGTTGCCACAGACCAAAGATTGCAATGTGGTGGCATCTAAGCTGATGTTCCTCCTCGATGACTTGCTCTGGGTACTGACAGACTCCCAGCTGAAAGCCATGATGAAGTATGCAGAGTCCTTGAGTGAAGCCATGGAGAAATCTGCCCAGCAGAGGAAGAGTATGGCACCAGAACCTGTCCTGGTAAGCAGCCGTTGTCTACACCTGGGAAAAAGAGACATGGAAAAGGCAGTGTGGACTCTCTGTCTACATACACAAACAGTGATTGCTGCCTAGTGGTCTCTCTAATGATGGGAAGAGGTAGGAAAGCTGTAATCTGTGCAGCATCCCAACAGTCTTGTCAACACTCTATACAGGTGTTAGCATTGGGAGGAGCCTGAAAAGCTCACCTGATGCAAGTTTAGGAGCACATGGGTACAGAGTCACCACTGGGATAAAACATGGCCTAAAGGCATTGCACCTAACGTCAGAAAAGTATCAGTGAATATTTTAAAAATAGTCATGCACTAGAATTGATCTGGGGGGAAAATATGCAGAATTTTGTGATCTTCTAGGCAGGACTGTCACAACATGCCAGGGAATCCCTAGATTTTGTTTTGGTAATAATAGATAATGAGCATACCCTAGAAACACTCTCTTCAGCCTATGCTAGGTAGTATGTCTCCTACTTTATTTCTCAAAAAAAAAATCTACACAGGGGGCACTCCAACCCTGTAAAAATTACCATGTTTTCAGGATCATTATTTTTTTTCTCCCAGTATCCTGCTAGGGGCTCGCAGTGCTCAGGGGTGTTTGTATGGTTTGTTTGCAGCACACACAGCTCATTGGTATTTCAGAACCTCTAACCAGCTGTTTCTTACACCTCCTTTCATCGTTAGCCCTTGAATTTCCTCCCTTAATCCTTACAATTCTTTTAAAGAAGTGTGCAAAATGCTCAGCAGAGTTAAGTAACAGAGATATTTTTAAATAATTGCTGCAGAGAGAAAATACAGCAGGGGTGGAGAATCTCAGGCCTGGGGGCCGAATGCGGCCCCCAGCTTGCCTGGATCCAGCCCCCGAAGCTCAGGGGCCCCCAGCATTGGGGAGCAGTGCTGGCACTCCAGCCCCTCTCCCCTGCTGCCACACCATGGGGCTGGAGCACACAAAATCTGCTAGTCTGGTCTCCACTAGCCTGTGGTTTAGGAGGGGAATGTGAGGAGTGTCTTTCTCCTTCTCAGTCAGAGGCCATGTCAGTGAAGGGGGTTTTTTTGGTTCTCATTTGTGTGTGACCCCCAACTGATTTTTCTGTGGGTCAGTGGCCCCCTATCCAAAAAAGGTTCCCGACCTCTGGCATACGGTGTGGTGAGATCAGGCCAAGAGGAGTTTCAATAATAAAGCTTATTATTTTCCTTTTCAACCATAGACTTGAAAGCATTTTCCCAAAGATAGGTGAGTATCATTAGTCCTATTTTAGAGATTGGGAAATTGAGGCATGCCTTGCCAAGGTCACATAGCATTGTTTAGAATAGGACAGAGGTATCTTGATTCCCTGTTTGGTACCTTGTCTGCTTGACCTTGCTGCCTCCATTGATTATAAATCAATTGATGAACTGCAACAGCTTTCAGCTTTGCAAAGTCTGTGCAGAAATGGAAGATCAAGATTACATTGATAATTATAAGTTCTAGTTGTTAAGTTATGTTTGGCTCTTTCCTTGTACATGCTGTGTCAGAACCATCGGTCAATGGCCTTTCATTTGGGGAACACTTTCCTTGCATGATGTGCTGCTACATGTTTCTGTCTATTCTAGACTACACCACCTGCTCCTAGTGCCCAGCAGTCCTGGTCCCAGACATTTGGAGGCAATGTGAATGCAAGCAGCATCAGCCAGTACTTTGAGAAATATGACATGAAAGAGTCCTCTTACCATCTGTTTATCTCCCGTCTCGACCTGCACATTTGCGATGATAGCCACACCCGGGAGTCAGGTATCTAGCCAAGAGTAGCACTAGGGAGAGCCTGGAGGAGGAAGAAATTAACCAGATTGTGGGGGTAGTTCTTTCTCACGTGTGCACATGCATATCAGAGGGAAGCAGATGTTATTGGCTTGGCTTTTCTGGGGTGACACTATGATGAGTACTAGGAGACTTGAATATGTGGTGTAGAAGTGTGGTCCACGGACCACTAGTGATCTGCAGCTGCCTCCCAGGTCGTCAGCAGCTCAAGCTCAGCCCTCCCGCCTCCTTCCCCACTGGGATAGAGGTGGCTGGAGTGGCACTGGCACCAGGCAGTCTTCTCGCTCCTCTGGGGGCGCTGTCACCAGCTCCCTGGTGGACCCAACCAATGACAGTAGGAGGCAGGGGAAGCCAGGCCTTTGCAAGCTGGGGCAGGGGCAGGCACCTGGAACATTGCAAGGCTGGGGCGAGTTTCAGCTCTGAGCAATGCTGCAGACAGAAAGAGGCAAAGTTCACCCACCCAGAGTGGGCATTGCAGGCTGGGTACCCCACACCCACCCACATGGGAAAGTAGTGAGCGCCAGGTCTCTGTTGCAGCTGGAGCTCCTGGGGTTGTGTGGGTTGCCTGCACACAGGACTTGGCTCCCAGCAGTCTCCTGTGCTGCCTTCTCTGGAGACTTTTGTCCCAGTAGTGGGCAAGTAAAGTTTTAGCCAGGCACAGGCTGCAGTGGGTCCAGTGTGGGGGGGGCCCTGTGGCTGAGCTGCCATAGACTTGATAGTGGAGCAGCACCTGGCATGTGAATGGGCTCTGCATAGGTGCATGTGGAAGCCTGGCCTGGTTCCAGCATGGTGCACTTGCCCCCATGCTGGGCACCTGCCTCTCCCCCCTCACTGGGACCCGCTGGCTCGGAGTGGAGAGGCTGAGATTGCAAATCACCGGTGACACTAACATGCACCCTGCAGCAGTTTCCCTGCTCCTCCCGCAGCCTCGTTCTGCGGTGGGTGGGGTCTGGCAGGATGACTGAGACACCTGGGGTTGTTTCTTACTGACGAGAGCATGGAGCCATTTTCTCTGCCGCTCTCCACAAGCCAGGTGTGGTGGGGAAGGTCGGGGCTTTCTTCATCTCCCCCTCGCTCCCGCGTGCCATCCAAGTGCACCAGCCAGCACGGGCTCCCTGCTGCTTAGGGGAAGAAAGGGGGCTGAACTCCCCACCCTATTGGGGGAACCCAGTGCAATGATGCGCTGGTTGTAGGCTTTTCCCGCTGCTGCCGTTGGCCAGCTAATGGGGGTGCAAACCCAGGTAAGCATTCTTCTCATGCCCAGACCCCTGCACTCCAATCCCTTTCACTCCTCCCACACCCCCAGCTTGCTCTTACACTCTCCCTTGCTCTTGTGCCCTCCCTCCTGGCCACACTCTGCACCCTTCCTTGTTCCTGCACCCTCCCTCTGGGACATACACCCTCCCTCCTGGCCAGATACTCTACCCCCAGTCTCCTCCTACGCCCTCTCTACCATCCAGACTCTGCACTCTCCCTTGTTCCTGCACCCTCTCTCCTGGCCAGACACTCTCCCTCATGGACAGACATCCTACCCCAAACTTCCTCCTGCGTCCCCCCTTGGTTCTGCGCGTCCCCCCTAGCCAGACACCTACCCCTGCCTGCTCCTGCACCCTCCCTTGCTCTTGCTCCCTCCCCTCCTGGCCAGACACTCTACTCCCAAACCTACTTCTGCACCTTACCTCCCACCCAGACCTTGCACCTTCATCCCCTCCTGCCCAGATCCTGCACCCTGTCGCCCACACTGAACCCCCCATTTCTGTCCCCCCAAGCCTAAGGGGGTCCACAAAATCCACTAACTCTGGCTTCCCTTGTCGACCGCGCCGCGTCCAGACTGCCCCACTGTGCTGCCAAACAGCTGATTGGCACAGCACGGGGGCCATTTTGATGTAAATGAAGCGGCGATTATTTAAATTGCTGCTTCATTTTCCTATGTCTAGTAAACTCATCTACATGGCTCCATTGACGGAGCCATGGAGTCTAGATATACCCTTAGTTATCCTAGTTTTGACTAGGCAGTGGAGCTTGACTACTTCCCTTGTGAGGCCAATCCCTAGGTTAGTAGATCTTTGCAGAGAAAGCTTTCCCAATAATTCAATTTAAAATCTGCCTTATTTTAATCTAATTTTTTCTAATTTATTCCAGTGAGCCATGCTGCATGACTTTCCCTCCCTGTTGAAGTACATATTAACTCTCTTCCAGTCCCCTTCTTTCCCCATAGGAGATCCCTTAATCAACCCGTAGATATTTATTTCCATAAAACTTTTCTTATAATTCAGTGCTCTCTGATCATTATTGTTGCTTTTCTCTGAACTTGCTCCAGTTTGACACCTTGTGTTGTTGCTGAGTTGCCTGGAATTGCAGTGTACACAGTATTCCAGCTGGACTTTCACCAGAGCCAAATAGAGAGAACAGGCTCTTAATAAACCTTGTGATTTAAAGCCTCTGCATATGCAGCCCAAAGCTGCTTTGTCCTCTTTATTTTGTTACCATATTGTTTATTATAGTAGTGAGAACGGTGATTGCTAGGGACACAGGGGCATTATGCAGTTTTGTGCATGGTGCACTAATTTTCTTGAGTCCACTAATTGTCAGTTTCATTCCGCTGTCTGTTTCCTGGCCTAGTTGTTCATGGGATAGGATGCTAAACCCCAAAAGAGGTATAATGTTTACAGCATCGTATCTTAAAATAGTATTCTGTGTAGTATCTTATATAGCATGCTAAGGGATCCCAAAATGCTCTGCTTTTTGTATATATACAGGGATTACTCTCACATCACCTCAAATGTAGCAACTATTCAGTAGTGCTTATCAATTCTTTACTAGCCATTCAGGACACCACTTTACACAGCCTACTGAAACCTTAAGGGGGAATTTTATTAAGAGACAAAGCAATGACTCTATTTAGAATTTACCCAGGGCCGCAGGTAAATCTTCTGATATAAAAAAGGAGTGGGATCCTTAATGAGCAAGATTTTATGTCTCTTGTAAAAGAAGGTACCAATACTGCTGGCAATGCAGTGCCGCCTAAGTCTGACATGAGATAGTAACTCATGAGGTGTGTTATTTATGCAAAGTTATTCTGAATTCCCCTCAGGACTTGGATTGCACAGCTGATATGCAGATGTTCTTTATTCCCTTCTTCCTACAGGTACCTCAAAGCAGAGGGTGATGGGAGGTGCAATGCAGCTCACTTTTAGGAGGATGGCTTTTGACTATTATCCCTTCCACTGGACAGGTAAGAGGAGTTTGTTCTTTCCTCATTCATGAAAGGGATAAAAAGAGGAAATATGCTGCTATAAAACTGTGGGCTGAAGGAGGCAGAAAGGACTGCAAGTAAGTATGCAGAGAGATCTTGTGACTTGAATCCTCTTTGCAGGATTAATCCAATTTGCCTCTTTGTGGGTGATTTTCTCGTGCGAAGTAAGGATGCCAAGGAGTGAGACTCTGAGGAAGGGAACACATAGCTCTCTGTCATAATGTCATAAGGTTAAACTCTTGGATTCCCTTTGACCTTTCCCATTGCCTAAACTTGGGATCTGGTTTCTGTATGTGCCTGGTCAGCTTGAAAGGGTTTCAGTGTATGGAACGAGGCCCAGGAAGAGCCCAGGCACAGTTATATGTGTAACACAGGACCCCTCACAGTGGAAAAGGGGAGAAAGAAACTCTTACATCTGGAACCCTCACAGAATGAGCAGCTGTGCTATGAGGAAATCTGCATTGTTTAACAGGGAGTCCTCTGGCCATGTAGCCCGTCTTGTGTTAGGGTGGCTCCATTTGGAGGAGAGCATTTAAAAGGTGCACATGTGAGTAAGGGTGCTGAAGTTTTTGGTGCTCACGCAAGCCACCTTGTTCATTTGTTCTGCAGGAGACACCTGTAAGCACTGGGTGAAGTACTGTGAAACCATGGAGACTCGGGGACAGTGGGCAAAAAAGCTGGTGAATGAATTTCAAAGCAAGATGGAGAAGCACTGTGAAGAAATGGATGCTGGATCCACCAAGGCTCCAAGATCCTCTTTCAAAAAGCAACTAGGTAGCACTGTTGGCTTGGCTTGGGAGTTTTCTTTCAGTTGCTTCTACTTTAAGAAAGAGATGAACAGACTTACTTGCTGGTGATTTGGGCACAATTTAAGGACAGAATAAAATGCACTGAATTTAATGTCCAAATGAGTGACTCATGGACCACTAGACAGATTGCGGTGTTCATTTTCATAGTCCAGTGAGCCCCTCTATGTTTGGATGTAAATGAAGCTTGTATGATTACCACAGAATCCTTGAGTCCTTGCTGCAGAATTTAGGTTGATTTTGCCACACATTACACAGATCTTTGATTGTATTCTTTTTTCATAAAGTCCTAAGCTTTCATTACTTAGTCTTTCCCATTTATATCCTACTCTCAGTCCATTACGTCTAACCAATAAACATGAATTCCCTAGAGACCTCTTGTGGGTTTGATGTTTAATAGCTCTACCTTGTTGCTAAGGAGATTCATTTAATAATGGCTGATGTAATTTTTAACTTTTTTTTCTCCCCAGACACTTTGTCCAGTCCTCACAAAAGCCCCCCAGAGAAAGGCTGCTCCCAAACACGTGTACCTCCTGCAAGCTTACCGCTTCTTCGGCACCCTTCATGGAACCGACTCCGATCCAGCTGCGTGGTAGTCCGTGTAGATGACCTGGACATTTATCAGGTGTGAAGGAGCTCTCATCCATTGTTAGATTATAGTTTTGAAACAAAGCATTTAATCAGATACCATGTTAAATAAAAAATGACAAAAAACCGAGTGTGCAACTACAGCCAAACAAAATTCTATACCTGCAGCATTCAGGAGGCCTGGCAGATCTCTGTAAGATATTACTTGTATCTTCTGAACCAAATATGGGATCAGAAGAACCCCAAATATCAAAGCAAACTTCATTCAAAACTGCTGAGTTTCTGGGGAAGCCCTGACTATAGAGCTGGAGCTGCTTTTTGTCACCACTTTAAACAAATGGTGTTTTGTGGATTTGAGAAATGAGTGAGGATGGGAGAGGGTCTCTCGGTAAATGTCTTCACTGCCAGCAATGTAGGACTTGCCAGGCTGGATCAGACCCAAGACTGATCTAGTCTATAATCCTGTTTCTGACTGTGACTAATATCAGATGCTTCAGAAAACTTTACACACACTTAATCATACACAGACCCTTCTTAAAATACAGAAAATGGTCCTATAGCACCTTAGAGACTAAGCAAAAGATATAGATAGTATCATGAGCTTGCGTGGGCAAAACCCACTTCCTCATATGAATGGAGCCAAGGGGTCCAGGAGTACAAATATATAGCAGAAGAAGAGGGGAGAGGAGGAGGGAGAAAAAAAACCTGTAAATTAAATTGTCCGTGCTAAATGAGGCTAATAGAGTGGGCTGTAAGTGCCCAATACTTAGCTTCTGATGTCATTTGGGTGTTGAATATAATGGCACATACAAGACATGTTTTTGTTCAGTCCTTGGGTGAATGTTTCAAATTTGCATATGGAGGCCAGTTCCGCAGATTTTTTCTTTAGCTGATTCCTGAAATTATTTTGTAAAAGGATAGCCACTTTTAAATCCAGTAATGAGTGTCCGGGCAGGTTAAAATGTTCCCCAACAGGTTTCTGTGTGTTACCATTTCGAATATCTGATTTGTGTCCATTAATCCTTGTTGGTAAAGACCGTCCAGTTTGGCCAATTAACATGGAAGAGGGGCATTACTGGCACTTGATGGCATAGATCACATTGGTGTATGTGTAGTTTTATGAGCCTCTGACATGGTGGCTTATGAGGTTAAGCCCTGTGATGATGTTGCTTGTGTAGATGTGTGAACAGAGTTGAACTGGGGTTTATTGCAGGGGTGAGTTTCTGGGTGAATATGATGGAGATGTGCTGCATGGTGGCAGGAAAAAAATTGTTTCAGGTTAGGGGGTTGTCTGTAGGTGAGGATTGGCCTGTCCCCCTAGGCCTGTGAGAGTGAGGGATCATTTTCCAGGATTGTAGATTGTTAATGATACGCTGGAGGGGTTTAAGTTGGGGGGCTGTAGGGCTCTACACCACTAGTAATCACCTACAGCCCCCAACTTAAACTCCTCCAGTGCATCATTAACAATCTACAGCCTATCCTTAACACGGCTACTCCTTACAGACCCTTCTTGTTACCCCTGCAGAGTTTCAGGAGAGTGAAATGGATTCTGTTCTGCCTCATGTCATCAATAGAATTCATTTGCAGTGTTGTAGCCATATTGGTTCCAGGACCTGAAACACACAAGATGGCAATATCTTTTACTGGACCAACTTCTGTCCCTTCAACCAACAGAAGTTGGTTGAATATAAGATACTACTTCATCTACCTTGTATCTTTCAATAGAATTTTCCATTAACTTCTGATTGGCACATCTTGTACTGATGGTGATGCAAGAGGCAGAAAGACTCAAAGCTCCCAGCTGGCTTTTTCAGATCCTGGTTTGACTTGGAGGTGCTGGCATTTGAAATACAACTTTTCTGATTTTGTAAACATTTGATGCAGGAATGAATCTTTGAGAGAGGATGAGTATGGGAAACAGTGATGCTATACGAACAGTCGCTTTTCTAACTGATTGCAGTGCAACTACTTGTCTTTATTGTTCAGGTTTCCACCGCTGGTCAGCAGAGTAAGAAACCTTCCACCTTGCTTTCCTGTAGCAGGAAATCCCTGAACCTTCCAGATCAAGTCTCTGCAATTCATATCGAGTTCACAGAGTATTACTTCCCAGACAATCAGGATTTCCCAGGTAATGCAATAAGTTAGCCCCTCATTTGATAAACTTCCTAAGGAACCAACCCATCTTTAGCTCTCTTGATACATAATCAAGTTACAGCTACTAGAGAGTCAGTTTCTCTGCAGCTATGTTCTTGTTCAGTCTCCCGATGTTCCTCTCTGTGTATTGATTTTTTGCACTCTTCTGACATCCTGGGTAAATTCCCCCGAGGAGGGAGGGTTACATTTGTGTGACTATAGTTTGCCACATGCTTACTGAAAATATGCAGTTTCTGTCTATTCTAGTCTTGAGGTTCTGGTTTGTTTTTTTGCACTAGTGCAGGAATCAGGAGAATCTGAGTTTTCTTGCTGGATCTACCATTCACTCACTGTGAACTTGAATAAGTTACTTTGCTTTTGTGCCTCAGTTTCTCTCTCTCTGATACAGAGATCCATCTCAGAGGGACATTGTACTGTTTAATTAATATTGTTAAAGCACTTTAAGATCCTTGAATATTAGACAGCCTTACCAGTGCATATTAGTACAGTGCATTTTGCCTATCATCTCTTCCCCTGCTACCCTAATGTTCTTGAACTGTGGTGAATGCTGAATTCTTTCTCAGAAGGCTTTAGCTATCCATGACCAATCCTCTTTTCTTTGAATCTCTATTAATTGCCCCATTTCTCATCCTCTCCAGTTCCATATCCGAACCTATACATGCAGTTGAATGATCTGATGTTGACTCTGGATGTGACAAGCATGCTGTGGGTAAATCTCTTCTGCCTGGATCTCTATCGCAGCCTGGAGCAGTTCAAAGCCATCTACAAGTTGGAGGACTCAGAGAAGCAAGATGAGCATGTGGATATCCGACTGGATGGCTTTAGGCTAAAGGTACCATTCATTCACTTCTTGCCCTTGTCTGCAGTGGTTTCCCAATCCCTTTTTGAAGGGAAAAATGTGAGAACAAGGTACGGTGGCAGCTCAGAGGAAGAGGAGAATGGAAACTCCACCTATGTAGGCTGGCTCCTACTGCTGTTAATTTCTCTTTGGGTATGTCTAGACTACATTGTTTTTTCGAAAAAACTGCCCTTTTTTCGAAAAAACTTCACCTGCGTCCACACTGCAATTGCGTTCTTTCAAAATTAAATTGAAAGAACACAGGGGGTTTTTAGACCTTGGTAAACTTCAAATTATAAGAACACCTTTTTTGAAAGAGCTCTTTCGAAAAAAGGCGTGTGTGGATGCAGAACAGGGACATTTTTCGGAAGATGAGGCAATCGAAAAAAGCACAGGTGCCCTGGTGGCTATTCTGTGAATAGTGATCAGGGATTTCTTTCGAGAGAGCGTCCATGCAGTCTGGACACTCTCTTTTGAAAAAGCAGATCGCTTTTTCGATTTGGTTTTGAGGTGTGGAAACTCTTTCAAAAGAAGCTTGCAGTCTAGACGTACCCTTTGTGACCTGTGGATGGAAGAACACATGCTCAGAACCAGCTGGGAGCGAGCTGATGCTTAAGAGGAGGAATGGCTGGGTGGCAGGTGAAGTAGGTTTATATGGAGTCTTTCTCGTCTAAATTGCCACTTCAAAGACAGCCAACACAGTAGCAACTGAAAATTGTTGTAGGTTGATGGCCATTTGGCTTATATGAAATGAGTTGTTGAATCTCACATCAGTGCCCAGTGGACAAATGTCCGTAGCACCGAAATCCTACTGCATTTGGCACTGGCTAGCCCTGTTGTTAGCAGTTTTGGCAGGCAGGTTAAGGCCCAAAATGCCCTTCTACTAGGGATGTTAACGGGTAACCAATTACCAGGTACCCAGGGAGCAGCCTTCTGCATGCAGCCTGCCACGGGCAGAGGTCTGCTGGGCCCCTGCATGGAGCTGCCAGTTCCCAGCCCATGCAGGCTTGGAGCCAGCAGCCCCATGCGCGACTGGAAGGCAGGGAGGTGGAAAAGGGGATGGGGGTTGCTCTAGCCCAGCCACGCTGTCCCTCCCGTCCCTCCCCTGTTTAATCAGTTAACCAGTTAAACGTTAAGTTTAACTGGTTAACTAATTAAATGGGATTTTACATCCCTACCTTCTGCCTCTTAGAGCTGGGTCTTTCCAGATATGGGTTGCTGGATGGAGGCTAGGGATGTAAGCAACTTGTTGACTACCTGATATGCCTAGGTTTATCGAGTAGCCAAGTCACTACTCGACTAGTCACTTCCTTCCACCTTGCTGCCTCTGTATCAGAGGCATCAAAGGGGTGGGAGAGCAGGAGCCAGTGCTGGGAGGAGCCAGCTTAAAAGCCAGTTCTCCCCAGCACCGTCTCCACGGGGGAGCAGGGGAGGCAGTAGCGGAGGACATGGCATGAGCAGGGACTGTTTGAAGTGCAGCGGGAATAGTGAGGCGCAGGGGGGGGATAAAGAGCGCCCCTCCCCTTATTGACTAATCAAGTAGTCGAGGGAAATTCCATCGATTACTCAATTAACTGATTAATCGAAATTTAACATCCCTAATGGAGACAGGGTGAGAGAACCTTGCATTGATGGTGTCCAAGCTTTGATTAATTAATAAAGGACTTCAGTCACCGATGCTGTTGGGCTGGTGCCTTTTCACCTTTCAGAACAAAACACACTTAAAAAAAAGTTGTTCTTAATGTATGTCATTCTCAGAATAAGGATGACTTAAGCATGACAGTACAGATATCACTGTGCTGAGTGCAATATACATTCTTAGAACTGGCTGCTAATCTCTCTTCTTATTTATTACCCCTCACTGAAGCTAAGCATCCCTGTAGAGAAGAAAGTAACTGATCATCGGGACCGTCCCAAGGCCCTGTGCATTCACACCTCGGAGGTGACTGCCACCAATTCACGCTACGACCCTCACTGCAGCTGCTCAGCCCTCCAGAACCTGTTTCGCAGATTTGCCAATTCAGAGTTCTTCCACTCCACTTACACCCAGTTCCCAAAGTCTCAGGACAACTTCAGTGTCCTCCACACTCTCTTCTTACGCCACGCATATCAGGTGGAAACCACAGCCCAGAAATGTAACGGCTTTGCCTATTCAATTTGGAGGACCTCTGCTTCTGAAGACCTCTGGTCTGTTAACTTCACCCAGATCTCCCTGGACTTCGAAGGGGCTGAGAGTTCAAAGGGCAGAGCCCTTACCTTTATTGACCCTTTCCCCCTCTCCATTTGGGCTTGTCATCCCAAGAGATGGGAGCTAGCTCAGGTGTCTAAGCAGCAGGCCTCTGCTGCATCGGAATTGAAAATAAAGTCTTCTGCTAGCTTTAGCAATCATGCCAAATACCAGGACATGACCAGAGAGCCTGGGCTCTGCCAAAGATCAAAGACTGAGCAGGACCTGAAAAACATTTACAAGGTCCGTGAGGCAAAGGATATCTTGGGAGAATATAACTGTGACAATGGCACAGAGGATGCTCAAGAGCCAGAAGCCTCTGCTGATATTCACATGCTTGTGTACTCGACCGCCCACGTGAAAGTGCGACTCAACCACTACCAATATCTGGTGCTGCTCAGAATGAAAGAAGTTTTGCAGATGCTGCAGGAGCAGTTGGCCCAAGACACCCAGGAACTGACTGGATCTCCCTTGGAACCCATGACTGTGTGTATGGGCATCATGTTCAACAGTGCTGAAATGGCCCTTCTCATGCATCCCATCCCAAGATCAGAACCCAGGTCTATGGACTCAGATACAACGAGCTTGATAGAATCTGAGCTCTCACCCTCAGACAGCAGGGAGGTGCTGACTACAGAAGAGAAGGAGCTGAAATCAGAAGCTAGCTCAGAGAAGGAAGTAAACAGCCCCTCCAAAGTCCTGGAGGACAGTGGTATTGAAAACACAGATGTGAGTGTGACCATGTTGCCAGAGAGACTGCCAGAATCTGTGAGTGATGGAACCCTGGGAGCAACCGACACAGCTGATCCACAGAACAAAGGCTTGGAGGAGAGGGGCCCAGTTGAGGAAGCACATGAAGCTGTAGAAGCCCTGGATACTAGGAGAGTGAGTGAGCCCAGCTGCTCTCAAACCCCTCTTGTCCTTCCTTCCAGCCATTCCTCAGATGTACAGCCATTGAGGAGTGGAGACCTCACTCTCAAGGAGCAGGAAGAACTCATTCCCTTGAAGAATCTAGAGGTAGAACTATCAAGTGCACTGCATATGACTAAGGATGCCACTAAGGAAGCCTTGCATGTGACCATGGACCTCACAAAGGAAGCCATGTCTATAACTAAAGATGCTTTCAGCCTGAGCCGGGAGAAGATGGCTTCTACCATGCAGAAAATGCTCTCTCTACCCCCAGCCAAGTGAGTGATTGCTCCTCCTCTTGCCCTTCCAAACAGCAACAGCAAAGCTGAGACGGACCAGGGGTGGTGGTGGTGGAGTTTAACAGTAACACGTCCATGTTTCCTCTCCCTTTTAGAAACTCATCTTTCCCTCTGACACTACACTGAATTCTCTTTACATTTGTAGGCCATTCACTTTCTGGGAAGGGCACAAAATGTTGGCTATCTGCCAATGTTTTTGCTAATCTTTTTCATCCGTGTGCACAATAAATTTATGTGCACCACCAGCAGAAACAACCCACCTTTGCTTTGCTAATCAGCTGGGAAGCATTTGAATCTTTCCTGAGTGGCTGCACAAGCACACAGCTTATAAAGGACATTGCTGCCTGCTTCCTCCTCCTTGCTAGTGGCTTGGATCCAAGATCCTACACATCCCATAGTCTCTAGCACCTTTCACTGCTGTAATATAGGGATGTAAAATTCTGATTAAAAAGTTAACCGGAATGTTAAACATTCTGGTTAACCAGGATCCTGTGGATAAGGGGCCGTCCCAGCCCAATTGGATTGGAATGGTCTGTGACGTGGTGCAGTGGGCAAGGCCAGGCTGGAGCAGCCCCCCTATCCATAGCAGAGTGCAGTGTGTCCCGCTGGTCTGGAGTGGCAGCACAGCACGTGTGGGGGGCTGCTCCAGCCCAGCCGGGCCTGCCACACTGTGGGCTACTCTGGCCAGATATATTACTAAAGATGCCACAGTGGGCCCAGTCAGACTGGAACACCCCCTGCAGCGTGGTGGGCCAGGCCGAGCTAGAGCAGCTCCCCACCTGCATTGGGTATCTAAAGGTCTTCTAGTAGTGCATTAAACAGTCTGACTAACATCTATCAGGTGCGATGTGATTAGACCACTTGCCCCTTCTCACTATCCCTATGACTTTCTCTCTGTCCCACATTTGAAGAAGGTGCAGGTTAACACACATCACCAGGTAAGAGTCTTTCCTGAGAATTAGATCTCTCAAGGCATACAGGAACCTGTCACGTCTCGGTTATCAGGACTGTATAGCTCACATTGGCCAGGGCCTAAAATTCTGACCAACCGACAGGTATTGAATTGCCTTTGGGATGTGCTAGTGATTCCCAGTAAGCTGGTGTCTACAGCTGGTTCCCTTCCAGTCGTTCTTCCTGAGGTAATACAGAGAGCTGGGGAAATAGGGTGGCCGGGTGTTACCTGATGGCTGTTGAATGGGCATGTTGAACTGAGTGGCTAGATCTCAGTCTAGGTCCCTGTAGACAAGTGTCCGCACAAGTCTATATCACATTATGAATAACAGGTCCCCATGTGGTTGATACATTAGAGGAGGTAATAACTGAAGTTCCAAGTTTTCTCTCTCTTGCAGAGATGGCCCCTCCAAGAGAGAACTAAGATGCGTGGATGGAGCATTGCAAGAAGCTTGCACTTCACTGCCTCTGCTGTAGATAAACAGGATTACATTTTCTCTTTCACTCTGCTTTGCCATCATTTCATCTCATACAGTTCTAAATGAAACCACAGAGCTGTGCTGATAACATATTATTTAATATAGAAACAGTGTAACTGTGATAGTGAATTTAGTGCGTAGATGCTAAGCTGTCTGCTTCTGTGGGTTTTTGGTAGGGAGCCTGTGTCTAAAGCTGAAGAGGGGGCAGCCACCCCTGTGGGCAGCAGCAGCACGCGAATGCGTTTCTTCTCCATGAAGAGGACTGCGTCCCAGCATTCCTTTGATACCACATCACTAGATGGGAATGGCCCAGAGGACAGGCTGTCTGTGGACAGTGATGGCAGTGATGGCTTTGTGATGCTCCTGGACCCTGGTAACTAGAACTGCGTGTATGCGTTCTTCCATTATTCGTTCCCACAGACAGATCTCTGATGTAGCTAATGGAGTGATTTATACTAGCGACCCCACTATGTCTGTCTCTAAGTGATCCCGTCAATCTCTCATTCCTGGGCAGTTAACTTAGTGTGGATCTCTGATACTCTTTGAGATGCCTTCTCTGTGAAAGGAGCTGTAGGGCGAGTACAGTCAAACAGAGCTTTACTAGTATCTGCATGGTATGGTCACTGGCACACTCAAAATGTAGAGCTGACTCTAGAGAAGGGCTAAAACATAGAACTGGGACTTGGGAGATCTGGATTCTATTGCCAGCTCTGCCACAGTCTTGTTGCATGACCATGGGCTAGTCATGTCCTCTGTTTCCTCATCTGTAAAATGAGAGGTATAGTTAACCTACCTCATAAGGAAGTTAAGAGGCTTGATTCATGAATTTTCTCTTCAAAGCCCTCTGTGGCTGGGCCCACACTGCCTGAATGCCTCACTCTGCATGACTGTAACTTCCTATAATGGGTATGTTCCTCTGGAACAATGGGAGTGCCAACTTTGAGAGTGGCTGTGAGAGCCAGCTCCTAGGCAGCTTGCCTATGACTGTGCATCTAACCTTTGGGAAGAAGCAGAATGACCATGAATCTCAGCCTGCAGAATACAATGTTCAGAACCCATTTCTTCAGCTATCATTCCCCTAAATAAATACATTTAAATGTAACAAATTATACAGTCTTCCTGGGTTTCAAAAGGGTGGAAAGACCGACAGAAACATGATCTTTGTGTATTCATGTTAGAATTTGAAGACTCTTGGCTCTTGCAGTGATGAATGCTATAGTAGTACTGTACATAGGTAGGTGGAATATTTGTGAAGGTGCTGTAGAAGGGCAATGTGTGATGTTGACTATTACAATAAATGTCTCATTTGGGCTCTTTATCTTTCAATTAAATCAATCCAAGATGCTTGTGACTATTTTCAGGAAGGTGGTAAAGTGGAACTGTACCTAAGTATTCTAGGGATGTAAGTGACTAATTGACTATCCGATAAGCAAAAGGTGATTGGAGAGTCAATTAGTCCCTCAACTAGTCGCTTCCTCCTTCTTGCTGCCTCCCCTGCTTATCAACTAATCCATCGACTTGTCAATGAGTTGATTAAACGAAATCTAACATCCCTAATGTATTCATGATTTGTTTTCAGAGCCTAGTTTGGATTCCCTCACCCCAGGACAACTTCTTCATGACCTTCATGATGCAGGTAGCAGGGAGAGCCCAATGGCAGAGGATGAGGGTAGAGGGACGCCTGACATGAACAGCTCAGCTTCTCAGAGTGGAGAGGACCCCAGCCTTCAGCTGGTCAGATTTCTTTTCTCCTTCTCCCTAAAGTCTTTCTCTAAAGAAGCTTGGAGGAGGGCCATGTAGCTGTTTGATGAGTGATGATACTCTGACTTGCCATTTCAGGTTTCTGTTCTGGTGCTGAAAATGAATGAGGTGAACTGCGGGATAGAGACAAGAGGAGACGATCTGTCACTTGCTGTACAAGTAATGGAGGTTACTCTAGAGCAGTTGGGCAATACTAGGATGTGGCAGTATCTGCAAAGCAGCCGTGTGGGTAAGATGCTGGCCTTTGGACCTGCTTGTTTCGAAACCAGAGCATCAGGCACTGGATGCTTTTAGGGAGCCATGAATTGTACATAGCGGTTTCAGTGTTGACATCCAGTAACAATGTACGTGAAAAGTTACTAATATTGAGAGCCTCTCGGTGATTGAAATACAATTTTCAAACGTTGTTTCCAGGGCTTTTTATAAAAGACATGATCTGGTTCAAACAGGAATTGATGCAGGAAAGTCATGTGCAGGTCAGACTAGATGATCATATCAATGCCAAAAGGTATCTCCCGCGCTAAAGCTCTCCAGAGTAGGGACTTTGTCTCTATGATGCCTACCATAATTGGGACCTGACTTTTGGCTAGGGTTCCTAGATGTATAATTAATAAGGCTTACAGAAGCTATGTGGGGAAGCTTGCATTGCCACTCTTGATGCTATTTCTGTGCTGATAGACATCCTCAGACTGTAGTTTGCTTACTTTAGGTGTTCCAACAGCACTGAGTTCAAGCTTTAAAATCTTTAAAAGAAAGAAACAACAAATGGTCTGGTAGCACTTTACAGACTAACAAAACATGTAGATGGGATCATGAGCTTTCGTGAACTCCGGTCATCTGAAGAAGTGGGCTGTGCCCACGAAAGCTCATGATGCCATCTACATGTTTTGTTAGTCTATAAAGTGCTACCCGACCATTTGCTTGCTGTTTTTTTTCTGTAACAGACTAACTCGGATACTCCCTGAAGCTTTAAAATAAAGAGTAGTAATTTTTGTGCTAGTGATACCCCTTGATAGCAATACACCCTTTTGCCACTAGAGGGCACAATACAATTATAAAATTACATAGCCTTCAGTTGGCATGTAAAGCTTCCTGTCTTCTACCAAAGGCCTCTATTTATGGGGTGGAGTTTTGCATGATCCATGTAAGAGTCAAGTCCTCAAGAACAATTAAGCCTATCTGGGAGCTGACATAGCTGAGGGTTGAATGTAGGGGTCATGTGACTGCCAGGGAGCTTATTTCTGTGATATAGTGATAGAGATGTAGCTGTGTTAGTCTGGTGTAGCTGAACACATTACAGAACAGAAGGGGGATGTGGGGGGGGGGAAGGAAGGTGAATGCCAGTGAGTTAATGATATTAGAGGTGCGGAAGGGGAAATGTCTGTGAGTTAATAGTATTAGAGGTGATAATTGGGGAAGCTATCTTTGTAATGGGTAAGATAGTTGGAGTCTTTGTTAATTCCCCTGCGGAATTAACCTGGCATTCACCTTCCTTCCCCCCCCCACATCCCCCTTCTGTTCTGTAATGTGATTTGTCCTTTTCATGTGTGTTCATTTTTTTTAAATTGTATCCTTTGGTATATATGGTTGTGACTATTTTCTTCCATTATTTGATCTGAGGAAGTGGGTCTGGCCCACGAAAGCTCATCATCTAATAAACCATCTTGTTAGTCTTTAAAGTGCTACATAGTCCTGTATTTTATTTCTGTGATGTGTAACTTGTTGGCTTGAAAATTAGGCTCAGACTCATTTCACATGGGAGGGAGGGAGGGAGGGAGAGGTAATACTGAAAAGCACTCAGGACTCTTGATCAGTATCTGAGCAATGAAAGGCTTTAGAGGCTGTATGTGTGCTAAAGGCCTATAACCTACTGCTGATATCATCCACTCTCCTCCACCTCTATGATTTTCTTTTGTGCCTCTAGGGGACCCAAGCATAGAGAAGCCCTTATCCGCAGAAGCTAATCAGACTCAACCAGAAATGTGCTTACGTCTTGAAATAGGACCCAGCGCCATTGTGCACTCACCCCTCGCTGTCCAGAATGGGTTCCTTCACATCCTCATCCATAGCTACAGCACAGAGCTCCTGATGTCCTTCCTCACCAACCTCGGACCCTTCCTCGAGGATGAAGCGATACCCGAGGTGATACCCATGAAGATAGAAATTGTGGATACCAGGATTACACTGAAGGTATGTCTGTGTGTGCACTGGCAGGGAAAAGGGGGTGCTCGAGGCTCAATTCTGGCTAAGATTTTACCAGTGAAAGAGAAATGTGGCTACCCGGAGAGGTGCCATTTCCTTAATCAGTTCTGCAGAATGGCTCTATAACCTTTCCTGACTCTTAAATGACCTCAGTGAGGAACAGATATCTCCTTGGTATTGTACTGTAATGGTTTGACCATGGAGAATATGCATGGGAGTTCCCTTCCCAGTTTCACGAATGGCGTGCTTTGCAATGTCAGGAAACTTGTTTCATCCTTCTATGCTGCTCTTGTCATCTGCATCTGTAGCAGGGGCAGTGTTACCAGCCTTTCCTTCTGAAGGTCTTGGAGCTCTACAAATGGAAAGGGTTGCATAAAAGCTGGGTGAGAGTGTTAGTGAGGCTATGTCTAGACTAGTGTTTCTCAACCAGTGGAATGAGTATCTTTAGGGATACTCAAGAGAAGTCTGGCGGGTACGTCAACACAACTGAAATTTAGAGAACACTGAATTTTTGTTGTACAGCGCTTTATTTTTGTACTTTTTACACCCAAAAATGTCATCACCTGCCCAGCTACAATTAAGTTGTTTAAACAAATGTGTTGCAATAGAAAAAAAAATGTATGTCTGAAAACTGTAAGTACTGGGGGTACTTTTTTTTTTTTTTTTAAAGGGGTACTTTATTAAAAAAAAAAAAAAGTTGAGAAACACTGGTCTAGGTGTTCCAAAGCCACTGATAGCCAGAAGCTGGGACTGGATGACTGGGGATGGATCATTCAATAATTGCCCTTTTCTGTTCATTCCTTCTGAAGCTTCTGGCACTAGCCCATCAGAAGACAGGATTCAAGTCTAATTGGACCATTAGTGTGATTCAGTATGGCCATACTTCTGTTCTTAAAGCCTGATTTTCCCCCATCTGTCCCTTTGTGTGTGTGTGTGTGGGGGGGGGGGGGGTGAAGTTGCGCACTACTGGTCTAGACTACATCCCTCTTTCAAAAGAGGGATGTAAATTAGACATATCAAAATTACAAATGAAGCCGGGATTTGAATTTCCTGCACTTCATTTGCATAATGGCAGCCATGTGTTCTTTAAAAAAAAAAACATCCATCCTTTTTTGAAAGATCCTATAAACTTCATTTTTTTAGGTGTACAGGATCTTTCGAAAAAGGTGGGTTTTTTTCCGAATGAACCGTGACTAGATGGCGGTTTCACTTTTGAAATACCCATTTTCAAAAGAACACGCAGCCACCATTATGCAAATGAAGCGCGGGAAATTCAAATCCCGGCTTCATTTGTAATTTTGATATGTCTAATTTACATCCCTCTTTCAAAAGAGGTATGTAGTTTAGACATGGTATCCTGAGAGAGGATACCATGTGCAGAGAGATGTCTGATAATCCAGCCATGTGTCTTTGTTATACTCCCTATAACCACTACATGCCCATTTCTTTGGTCAGTGTCTCCTCAGACACGCATGAGCTAGGCTTACTGTGAACCAGCAGGGATATCTGCGGATTGTTAAGGGCCAATATTAATGAATTTCGATGGAACTTAGAATCTGGAACAATATTGTGAGATGTGGCCTTCAGGGGGATTGTGGTGAGAAACCGACTCTTGGGTCTTCATTGGGGATATGAGTGAACTCTCTTTTGCCACCCAGGAGGGCTTTCTGCAAAGATAACTAAGGTTTACATGCAACCCCTGTGCAAAGCCATCCTCTTCTGTTTAATGGTCAGCCCAGGATGGGATCAGCAGTAACATGGCTACTGTGAGGGCTTGAGAGGAAATTCTATGCTGCTTTGCCTGTTTCACACTGGTGCATGGCAGCTGATAATTTGTGTTGGTTCTGCAGGATGACAGCCCTCGGGTATACCCTACCTCTCCTGGCCCCATTCCCATAACTCTGGCGATGGATCATGTTGTTGTGAAGCGCAGCGATGATGGAGTGTTCTATGTAACAGGTTGGTAAAATAGGGAAGCCTTGATTCTCCCTTCCTTCATGCCATCACTGGAGTGTAGAACACTGCAGGGATTCCTGCAGGTATAGACTGGAACTGAAATCTGCTGCTGCTGGGGGAAGTTAGATCAGGAGTATTTGATTACCACCAGCACCCAGTGTTTCCTTATTCTCTGCAGCCACTTCTCCCAGAACAGGCTAAGAATATTACGTCTTCTGTATAAGCATCCCTCTCCTACAATACTCCAGTGTTCTCAGCAGCAGCCACTCCAACTGGTGTAACTTTTTGCTTGTGTACAAACTTTTTCTTGAGATTATATATTAAAAACTCAAGACAGCATTGGTGTATTTGTTAAAATGAATTTGGTTCTGGTTGTCACTCTTGCTGACTTGCAAGGACTGGGCAAGTAGTTTCTTTTTGTGCCACAGTAAGAGTGTTTTTAAAATGGGGATAATATATCTGTACAGCACTTCAAAACCCTTTAAAAAAAAAGTGCTTCATGGTATAAATGCACATATTAGCATCTGTACAGCACTTCGAAACCCTTTTTAAAAAAAAGTGCTTCATGGTATAAATGCACATATTAGTATTTCTGTATTCCTTTCCAGCTGCACAGAATGGGGGACTACCTTTACAGAAAAGGCCTGAGAAAGGTCTGAAGGAACAGAAGGACCCAAAAGAAAGACTCTTGGCAGTCCCAAGAGGAGCAGTACCTGTATTACAGGTAAGCCATTTCTGCATGTTTCCTTCCAGATAAATGTCCCGGACAGATGGCTGCAGACCAGAAAGTGCAGAGTTGGGACATGTAAGGCCTACATGCATGTCTCTTTCCTTTTCTGGGGTGTTTATAGACAGGAAGCATTAGTGTCGTCTTGTGAGAGCAGTCAGGATTCAGTTCCCATCTCACCTTTCACACACAATCCAGAATTAAGAGTGATGCCTGCAGCAAACTTTCCTGATCACTTTCACGACCTTGTTTTCTGAGGAGATCCATCTTTCAACCACCCGTCCAATCCCTGAGTGGAAGAGTGTTGAGAATCTATTGGTTAAATTTAGAGGGGGAAGCAATAGGGGTGATGTTATGGTTGGTGTCTGCTATAGACCTCCGGATCAGGTGGATGAGGTAGACGAAGCTTTCTTCAGACAACTGAGGGAAGCTTCCAGATTGCAGGCCCTGGTTCTCATGGGGGACTTTAATCACTCTGACATCTGTTGGGAGACCAATACAGCAGTACACAGACAATCCAGGAAGTTTTTGGAGAATGTTGAGGATAACTTCTTGGAACAAGTGCTGAAGGAACTGACCAGGGGCCATGTGCAGCTTGACCTACTGCTCAGAAACAGGGAGGAACTGGTAGGGGGAGTAGAGGTGGGTGACAACCTGGGAAGCAGTGATCATGAGATGGTAGATTTCAGGATCCTGACCAAAGGACAAAAGGAGACTAGCAAAATACAAACCCTGGACTTCAGAAGAGCAGACTTGGACTCCCTCAGAGAACTGATGAGCAGGATTCCCTGGGATGCTTATATGAAGGGGAAAAGAGTCCAGGAGAACTGGCAGTATTTTAAAGAAGCCTTATTAAAGGCACAGGAAGAAACCATCCCGATGTGCAGGAAGAAAAGCAAATATGGTAGGCGACCAGATTGGCTTACCGGGAACATCCATGGTGAGCTTAAACACAAAAAGGAATCTTACAAGAAGTGGAAACTTGGACAGATTACTAGGGAGGAGTATACATATATTGTTTGAGAATGCAGGGGAGTTATCAGGAAGGCGAAAGCGCAATTGGAATTGCAGCTGGCAAGGGATGTGAAGGGTAACAAGAAAGGTTTCTACAGGTATGTTAGGAATAAAAGGGTGATCAGAGAGGGTGTGGGGCCCTTACTGGATGAGGGAGGTAACCTAGTGACAGATGATGTGGGAAAAGTTGAAGTACTCAATGCTTTCTTTGCCTCTGTCTTTACAGACAAGGTCAGCTCCCAGACAAATGCATTAGGCAACATAGTATGGGAAGGAGGTGGACGGCCCATGGTGGGGAAAGAACAAATTAGGAACTTTGAGAATGTCAAGCCTGATTTTTTTTTATTTAAAAAAAAGCTGTACCTTTTTCTCTGGGCAGTGAACTCATTGCAGAGACATCAAAGGGAATATGTGCTGGATCAAGGTGATTTTTTTTTTCTGTACCACATCATTGCCAGCTGTGGTGTTTATGATTAGAGGCAGGCGTTCCAGACACCTCTGAGTCCTCAGTAAGCGTCAGATCTTTAACGGGATCCATCCCAACCGAGTGACACTAAACAGACAGCCAGAGGGGAGTTGGTGGGGTAGTGCTGTGAAGGAGGGGGTCTATGATACTCAGTGCGCTCACCAGCCAAGCTTATAACAAACTCTGAAAATGCCAGGCTTTAGGCTGCCCAGAGGCCCTGTATCAAGCTTTCCAGAACTGCTTTCATTAGCAGAGGGGATCAGACAGTGGGGCCCAACGAGTAGCGATCAACTGCTCGATGTCAGGTTGTCGGTCAGTTTCTAGCAGAGTGCCTAAAGAATCGGTTCTTGGACCGGTTTTGTTCAACATCTTTATTAATGACCTGGATGAGGGGATGGATTGCACCCTCAGCAAGTTTACAGATGACACCAAGCTAGGGGGAGAGGTAGATACACTGGAGGGCAGGGATAGGGTCCAGAGTGATCTGGCAGATTAGAGGATTGGGCCAAAAGAAATCTGATGAAGTTCAACAAGGACAAGTGTAGAGTCCTGCACTTGGGACAGAAGAATCCCAAGCATTGTTACAGGCTGGGGACCGAATGGCTCAGGAGCAGTTCAGCAGAAAAGGACCTGGGGATTACAGTGGATGAGTAGCTGGATATGAGTCAACAGCGTGCCCTTGTAGCCAAGAAGGCTAATGGCATATTGGGGTGCATTAGGAGGAGCATTGCCAGCAGATCCAGAGATGTGATTATTCCCCTTCATTCGGCTCTGGTGAGGCCACACCTGGACTACTGTATCCAGTTCTGGGCCCTCCACTATAGAAAGGATGTGGATGCATTGGAGAGGGGCCAGCGGAGGGCAACCAAAATGACTAGGGGGGCTGGAGCGCATGACCTATGAGGAGAGACTTAGGGATTTGGGTTTATTTAGTCTGCAGAAGAGAAGAGTGAGGGAGGATTTGATAGCAGCCTTCCACTTCCTGAAGGGAGGTTCCAAAGAGGATGGAGAAAGGCTGTTCACAGTAGTGACAGAGGGCCGAACAAGGAGCAATGGTCTCAAGTTACAGTGGGGGAGATCTAGGTTGGATATTAGGAAATACTATTTTACTAGGAGGGTGGCGAAACACTGGGATGGGTTCCCTAGGGAGGTGGTGGAATCTCCATCCCTAGAGGTGTTTAAGTCTCAGCTTGACAAAGCCCTGGCTGGGTTGATGTAGTTGGGACTGGTCCTGTCTTGGGCAGGGGGCTGGACTTAATGACCTCCTGAGGTCTCTTCCAGCTCTATGATTCTGTGACATTCTTTTAGATGTAGGGACTTAGAAAATAGGTCATAAGCAACCACAGAATGAGTACTACAGTCAATATCCTGTTAACATGGATGGAACCCTCTGCTTAGTTTACTCACTTTTTAATTTTATCTTCCATTTAATTTCATCCAGACATCTGGAACCCAAATAATTTTGTAATGCAAACAAAATAAAAAACAACCTTCACTTTGTATTGCTCTTCCTTTATGCAAGTATTACTAGATAATCTGATGATTGGCTATTGAAAAATGTGCTGATAGAAGCAATGAGGTCTAGCGGGTGAGGTGCTGAACTAGGATTCTGGAGACGTGGCTCTGCCACTGGCCTTCTGGGTGACCTTGGTCAAATCACTTCTCCACTTTGTACCTCTATTTTCCCTCCCTCTCTTTGCCTCATTTTAGGTTGTAAGCTGTTTGGGGGAAGGGACTGTCTGATTGTGTGTGTAGCACCTAGTCTAGACAATGGATTGGTGATCACAACTGGAACCTCTAGGTCATACAGTAGTTAATTTACTGATCCTACTCAAGTCAGTGGGAGCAGGATTGAGGCTTAAATTCTGAATTAAAAAATAACACAGCCCAAGGAAGATCCACCAATAAATAGTATTGTCCAAATCATTGTCAACATTAGACTTGCCATATGCTATGCTAGGGATCCTGATGGCCATTGGTATAACAAGGTATATTTAACATCCCTAGTTAACTCTAGTATGCCTGTTTATGAAGAAAACACATCTGTAAGGCACAGGTAGCTTCAGTCCAGGAGGTAGTAACAGATGTGACCGAATTAAGGGGAGGTTCCTGGTGAACTTACACAGGTAGTCCTGTTAACTGTAGGGATGTATATGTGTAGTCGGTTAGCTGATAAACAAAATCTTATAGGTTAATGCTATAGACTACACACATTTCCCCCCAGACCTTCTTGCCAGTAAATTTTTTAGCAGACTGGCTACCTCTAGCTGTGACTCTGCATTTAAAGTGTGTTAAGAAGCCAGGTGGGCAGGCAGCCCAGCTCAGCGCCCCCGGACAGGGGCTGCTGCTGGCCCTGCCCCGCCCCTGGGAACTATAGACTAGTCAACTAGTTGATAAGAATTAATGAGGTTAATCAAATATTCAATTAACTTGATATTTAACATCCCTCGTTAACTCTAGTATGCCTGTTTATGAGGATAACACATCTGTAAGCACAGAATGGAGCCCACTTTTATCTTCTCTGTAAGTACAGTATTAACCTTAAGCTGATGCCAGAGTAGTGCAGGAAGACCCTCTGCTGCTGACAGTCTTGTTCACATGTCTAAAGTAGGGAATCCATGGAGTCTGATGGCCATTAGGCTGCCACTGATGGGTGTGCAGGCTCAGTATAATAATGACTATGAAAGGTATTCCAGGAAACTGTTGGAAATGCATCTTGTCAGCAAGGACTCATGCAAGAAAGTCAAATGGAATCAGTATGTTGGCAGGCTTTGTTTGCTGTCTGGCATGTAGCTGCAGTTCATCTCCAAGCTCCTGGTTTCATATTCCTCTTTGACAGTATTGCGAAAAATCAGTCTGGTCTCACCTGCTTTTTACCTTTGGAAAATCTGTCTCTCTTTCTCTCCTTGTTTCTTGTAGCTAAAGGAAGCCCCAGCTTTGCAGAAGGATCTCCAGGCTATGAAAATAGCCCTAGCAGAAGCCAATCTGGACATAGAACGCCTTCTGCAGGAAATTAGGAAATACGATCCCCTCTTCCAGCTTTGACAACAGAGGCCCAAGGCTGCAGCTGCTCAGGAGGAGCAGAGATCATCACCAGCATCCAGGTGGCTAATTTGTTACATTGCTACTGAGAGGCCAACCTCAGTAGAGAGGAATCGCCTTGGGGAACTAAATCCTAATAGCAGGATAAACTCTTAAGTCAGGAAGAAAGAAGGAGAGCCTGGCTGGGTGAAGGGAAATTAGCAACAAGGAGCTACCTGGTTCTGGTTTTGCAGCCATGTCCCTCAGTCCTGACAGAACGGTGCTATACTCGGTGTCACTGAATAACTGCAGTGCTTGGTCTGCAAGCAGAAAATGCAGAACAGTAGTCAAGAGCCAGGCACCCCGTCTAGTCATCTTACAACGGTGTTGCTGGCCTACTTTCATACCACCATTGCGTCTTCTTCCTTGTTCATCTTGGTTTACAGAGGTGGGTGGTGTGGGGGTCTGTACTTCCTTGAGTATCTTCCTGGGTGTTTTTGCCCAAACACACTCACCAAAGAGCGCAGGCAAAAGCAATAAGGTCAACTTGTTCAGTCAAGGCATAGTCAAATATGGCAGAAGTTTGTTTTATAGTGAATACATATGAAATGAAGTAAAATGGGCTGGAAATGTGGGGGGTGACTAGCTGTGAGAGATCTGGAAGTAACTACTCTCTATAGGGGAGAGGGAATGTGACTTGAAGATATTCTCCCTTCCACCCATCTAGCGTAGTACACAGTGGAAAAGGTACTAGAAGAAACCCAACAGTTTGTAGTCCCAGGCCAAAAGGAAGATGTGGGGTATTAGATTTAGAAAGGTACTCTGCTTGCAATGCTGCCTCTCAACCCCACCTCTAACTCTATGTCCATATGCCTTGGCCATTGCCTTTAGCCTGGTATGAAAGTTGCCAGTTTGAAAAGTGTCCCTTGCTCATTAGCTAAAAGCACAGAGGCTGAGTTCAGCTTAGTGTTCTCCACAATGAAATGGGAGGAATCCAACCTCTCCCCACAAACATGACCTTTCTATCAACTGACTACCTAGGAGGCAGGCTGGGTGCAAAGCTTATAGGCCAAGGGGCAGAAGAGGGGGAGGACCTGTCATCTCCCTTTGTGAAGAGTACTGCACTCAGACTTACCTGACAGAGGTTCACAGACTGGTGAGGGAGGAAAAGCACTGACAGCAACAACAACCAGTATACATATTCTACCCTAGTCATGTATTCTGAGCTAGAGATGAATCAGATGATATGGAAGTTGTACAAAGGGCTGGTAATGTGTGTTTTAACAGAGTGCTGACACTCAGACTTTAGTGGCTTCTAGCTGCCTTGGTTGCTCTGTGCTAGTTATCTGAAGGCAATCAAAACAGCAGCTGTCTAATGTTCTCTCCTGGAAGATGGTGACTCAGTGCTAATCTTCTCCAAGTTGCTTCCATGATGAAGGTGAAGTGTCCAAAGTCAGTGTGTGGCTTTCTTAATTTAAAATTAAATAGCTTCTACAGGTAAGAATACCTGGTAAAAGACAAAGTAGGAGTTCATGAGAAGTCATTGATGAAAAGGCTCTTTTGTAATGTTACAAGAATCAAATGCTTTTCTAAAGGCTAAGTTTGCTATTTCCTCACTTTAGCTGACTAAGCTAGTGCATGCACAGTCTTGGCACTGGGTGAAGAAGCAACTGTCGTGTGCCCTCCTTAACTAACAAAGAAATAAATGGAAGAGAGAAAGCAATGGCAAAGAGAGTATCCACAAGATAGAAGATAGTGCTGGACAGAAGAGTAAGCTGTATACAGTTTAAGAAAGAACCATACAAGTTTCAGCCAATGTTTTACTACTGAAGAATGCCCACCCACCATACTTTATAGCATTCAGAGTCTCTTGGATTTTAATGCATTTCAAACTTTTTATGGATTAGATTTCTCCAGATGTACTTTATATTTGTATTAATGCACGATTTGTAGCGCATACACAATACTTTTTCTAGTGCCTGTAAAACAAACAGATGAGCCCCACACATCTTGATGAATTAAGATTTGGGGAGTGATCAGAAGGAAGACAATGACTTGTAACCGTTTTTTCCCTGTTACACTATCCTGCACATTTTTCTTCTACCCAATTCTGGATCTATCAGGTGTTTCTCTTTAATAGGGAACTTGCAGTCTAAGCTCTAGGGAGGAAGGGTGCATGTTTTTATGTGCTCAGTTGATGGTACTGAACTATAAAATGAGCCAACAACGAATCCCTTGCATATGTCACTCCAGATGAAAGGAGAGGACATAGAAAGGATGCCCATACCCAACACAAATAGCTGTCATTATGGGGATAATTATAAATTCAAAATATTTTGACTACACTACGCTGAAGATGGAGTCTTTGACCAGTACCATTGAAGACACAATAGCCTTGGCGCAGAGACAGCCCTGATTTACTGCTGTAAGGTGGACTGCATCTCTACCACCTTGTCTAACAAGGTCCAACTGACCAATGCCTAAAACCAGGTCAGCAAGAGCCCAAACTTCCCTGTGTGCACTGGGAGCCAACAATTAGAAATTATTTGGCTTTTGAAGGAAAAATCTGTTTTAAACAGCCTGAGATGAGCATTAGGCAAAGAGCAGCCAAATGCCAGAAGGCTTTGCAGTTGTTGTAATGTCTCTTTCCACATCTGATGGAACTGTGTTGGCTACTGTGTATTATATCTTGACTGCTCTAGTTCTCATGTTAATTTCTGTCCCTGGAAGAGGGAGGATAGTGTTCTCTCTCTGTACTGGAATCTTACTGCTTTACTTCAAGAGCATCTTTCTTGTCCTATGCCTCCTCAAAACAGTCTTTGTGACAGGTTATTACATGCATTATTGCCTACGTTGAAAAATCCTCTTGTGTAGCAGTCCTTGTTTGATCCTATGGAGCAGAGAATCTGTTAACAAGAGAAGAAGGCACTTTAACTTTTAGCAGTAGTGTAGGGGTAGCCCAACTGGGTATTTCCCCACCACCTTTGCCTTGTGTATGCACAGAATACTTTTAAAATAAAGAAAAAGAGGTTTTAGAAATGCAAGAATTATCTCGTGTGGTAAGGATCACACTGTGGCAAGGCTAAACAGTTTTCTTGTAAAACAGGCACTAATGTTACAGTGCATCTGTTTATATATAACCAGACTTGCTGTGAACCTAATATAAAGCAGCTAATTGTAGGTGTAAAAGACATCTAATGTTGTGAAGTGTGTTTTAAGCCCAAATGTTTGTTTCCAAAGTGAAGTTGTTGGTCACTTCCATGTAAACTGAAATTAACATTCTTTAGTGAAACTTATACACTTATATGCAAACTCCATCTCTTCCTGTTGAGATAAGAGTATTCCTGCAACCAGGCCCCCTGGTGGGTGGGGGTGGGGGGTGGAGAGCAAAGGCAGCAATTGCTCTAGGGCATAGAGCTGCTGACCAGGTCTGGGCAGTGCTAAGAACTGACTGAAAATGCCCCGGGGGGAAGGTGATGTTGATCCCACTGCTTTAGTCAGTGTGCTTGGAAATCACTTTTGTAAAAAAACAAAGAAAAAAACCCAAAACTTTTTTTAAGATGTCCTGCTGCGTCTTTTAGCAGGTTATGAAAGGAGTGATAGGGGAAGGTTTTGCCCAGAACTGGTATCTAGCTACAATAACATGAAGCTACTTCCCTCTCCGGCTACTGCATCAGAAACAGCTGGTACGTCGTTTTCCTTGGCAAGCATCTTGTTCCAATGACCACAGGAGCTTGGATCAGTCCATATAGGGCTAGGTTCAGGAAAAAACTGAGTGCTTCTATTTCATTGTATTTCAGTACAATACAGGTACATTACTACTCAAAGCCTCATTGGGCTTCGTGCTGTATAAAAGCTTGCTCACTGCAGAGGACTGAAGAGCTAAGCTTGAACAGTAGGAAAGATACGGAGGGTGATGTGACTGATAAGTTACGTTGTGTTAAGGGAAGTTAGTTCTTGAAGATTGCTCTACTGTTGTATGTTCTATTAAATGAGCTAACTTCATTCTGAGTGTAATTGCAGTGTTACAGTAGGGATGAGTTGGGGTTGCAATAGCTCATTAGTTTCGGGGTTCCAGTCTTTTCTGCTTATACTTGGCAATACTGGGTACAAGTCTGACTTGAATCTAAGGCCTATCCGTATTGGAATCTTATATTGCAGTATTACATTTCCACTAGTGCATTTTTTGGTTCTGTGAACCATCTTAAAGAAAAACTAAACCTCCACTGTGTCAAATGTTTTTCTCCATGGCTGGTTTTCTTGAATCCTGAGTAAACGCAGAACGTGGCTGAACAGCACACAGGAAAAGTAACAGTGGTTAAAGGCTGTGAGAACGAGAGGCTATCGTTAAAAGACCCTCTTTTCCAAAGGAAAACTAAAACGCTAGAGCCCCCACATTATTGATTAAGGATTAACAGATAGCATTTTCTCAGCTTAAGTTCTATAAGCAGCTACCACAAAACATTCAATGATGTTTCATCAGCAGAGTCAATGTGAATGGAAGAGACGACTCAAATCCCAGTCGTTTAACAGAACAGCAAATTTAATGAATTTTCATTGTACAAAATCTCCCCATTTCTATACAGACTGAAGTGTACCTGTTACAGCAGTATCAGCCCCCATCACATTTTCCTCTCTAACTAAAAAGCCTATTACACCAAAGGCTTTTGTCCTTTGTAATTGAAGGGTTTGGCTACCTTTCACACAACCTCAGCTATGTCTAATTCCCCTGACAACATTTCCACATCAGTTTTTATGTCTCTCTACCACCAGCACTTCTGTAAGTTGCCCAGGAAGTGTTTAAAGAGAGAGAACTTAAGCAGTCACTTCTTGCAGAAGTTATAAATGGAAGCATTTCATAGAGTCTGAGAAACTGGCCACATGGGCTCACTGTAGTTTTAAGAAACTTCTGTTAGGTTGTTTTGGTACAGGTTTGCTAGTTAATGCTGAAACCATCAGTAGTGCAGAAGGTCTGCAAGCTTTTTGTTTAAGCAGCTCCCTGAGGTGATATAATTTACAGCTGGAAGTCTATTCTCCTCCATCTTCTCCAAGGTCTGCTTCTTAAACTGCTCTCTAGTTCACTTCAATGGAAGGTGATTTTTTTATACTTAGAATTGGGGATCTGCCCACGTGATTTTAGCCGCCGGACTGCCTCACGCATGTGTTTGGGCTGAAGAGGTGGTAATTCTCCCCACTTCTCACACACATCCAGTGCTAAACAAACCAAACACAGAGAATGTTATCTGTCAGACAGCTGACTTATTAAGCAAGTGTCTCATCTTTTACTAAGCAGGTTCTACTATTCATAAACCCTTTCAACTTCAAATCCCTAAAAACAGCAGGCACTAGTTTCCAAGTGGTGTCCGCAAGGGACAGTTGGGATTTTCCAGTGGACAAGAATGAGCGCAAAACTGACGACTCTGGTTCTCACTATCCAAGCTGACAGAGAATATAAACACTCTTTAACTGGTGAAGTTACATTTTATGGAACAGTTGTGGTTACTTAATTTCTTAGAACATAAAATAAGTGGAGAATGCCCCTTTCTCCTTTGAACTGTTAAAATATTCACAGGTTGGTTAACTTGAACACATGTAGGGACTACTGCACTAGAGCTAGGAGATGAACATACACAAGGAAACAAACAGTACGGATTAGGGATGTTAAATGTGTTTATTTAGATAAACGTGTAACCACCGAAAATGTCAGTGGTTACATGTTTATACGGAGTCCCCTGCTGCCGGCTCTGTATCAGAGGCAGGGCTGCATGTAACCATGCATGTTAACAAATGAGCTCAGGCTCATCAGTTAACCATCTGCATGGGTACATATTCACATCCAGTTTAACTGGTTAACCCTAGTGTCCAACCAGTTCTGAAGTTATAGTGGCTACTGCTGTGATAAATTAGTCAAACTTAACTAGCCAAATAACCACATTGTTCAAGCCAACTGACCACATTCAATCAGCCAAATAGCCACATGTGGCTAGTGTGTTGGACACCAAAGAGTTAACTAATTAAAGGGGGGAGGCTGCTCTAGCCCAATTTGAGCGCGCGCATGTGTGCGTGCGCACGCACACTCTCTCTCTCTGCTGGATTGTAGCACGCAGCCCCATCACAGGCAGGGGCTGCACCAGCTGTGCCCTGTTTGCAACCTCTGTCTGCTTCAATCAGGACCCCAGAGCAGCCCCCGTCAGCAACAGGCCCCCTGTCCGTCTGGAGCAGGCACCTGCTGGTTAACCAGTTAAATAGTCACATCCCTAATATACAGAGATGGAAAGAACCTATTGGATCACTACATCCATCCCTCTCCAGTTGCCACATGAAAGAAAGCTAATCTCAAATAGAGATACTGTGAGGCAGTGGTTCTCAAACTTTTTGGCCCGCGACCCACCCTGCTCAATGTAAATCTGCGGACCACAAGCCAAATGCCTCTAATGACAAAATGATTCATTTCAGAGTTATACAGATGCTAAGACAAAGGTCTAAGCTGTTGCAACCACATGATTTCACTTCAAAAGCTTTTTTCTCTGCTTTTATAGTGATCTTTACACAATATATTCTTAGGAATATTTCCCCTTTTACAATATTCCTCTTCTACTCACCTTCTTCTACCACCTCCCCAACGAAGACTTTGGAAATCCCTGACATAGCAATAACCACATTCTGAGACACAGATGTACCAGTAATGGACTGGACCAGCTTGAAACAAAAGAAAATGTAATTCAGTTTTGCAGGTGAAGACTTTAAGAAACACTTAGTCTAAGCATGGGAAATACTGAGCAGTAACTACTGAAGTCAACACAAGTGGACTTCAGTGCTCAACACCTATTCCATAGTTGAAAACTTGTGCACTCAAACTGTGACCTAATCTATAATGATGTTTTATGCACTTACTTTTATACGTACCAAGCTGGATATGTTCTTCTGTGGACTGACTATTTGCAAAAACTTACCCGTTTAATAGCAGCCTTGGGGAAAGCAGACCGGCGGTACATCTCATAGCGATTCAGCTGCTCTTCAGAAAAGGAAGAAACCAAAATTCTGGAAGGAGGAAACAGGTCAGTTATGAGAGAACACAGGTGGACTTATTTTCATCTTAAAAAGCATTTTGAAAAGTTACCCAAATCTACATATGGTCTGTTACTACAGCGTGCCACTTTAGCCATAAATACTTTATTAAGCATAAGACACACCACTAAAAGGAGGGGGTAGATTGTGCCCTAATTATCTAACACACAAGGTTGAGACAGATGAATTGTTTTGGTTTACAAGCTTGACTTAGATCTTCCTTTATGAAGACAAAAATCAGAAAGACAACCTATTAAGGAATAGTCTCCAATGTTAGGCTTAAAATAATGACATGGCATATTACATACTACTGTACTTTTCATTTACATCAGCAAGCTCTGTACAGTGAATTGGGTGAGTTAAACTCAGTCTGATGAGCAAATTGTCATAAAATAAAATCCCGTACAGGGATGTTAAATATGGGTTAACTGAATAGTCTATTAACCTCATGAATTCTGATTGATTACTCAACTATTCTATAGTCCACAAGGGTGAGGCCTGCAGCCAATGTAATCCAGCCCCACTCCCGAGGACCCCCTTGCCACTCCGTGCTGCGGTGTAAGGTGAGAGCTGGTCCATGAGGGGAGGGTTTAAAAACCAGCTCCCCTTGCAGACCTGCTGCCCCATGCTGCTGCCTCTAATATACAGGCAGCAGTGCAGAATAGCAGCTGGGGAAGGGAGGTGGGGGGGACTCAGCTCCTGGATGCAGTATGAGCCTAAACAGAGCTGGGCTGCCTGCCCCTCTGGCTCCTAATACTCATTAAATGCAGAGCTGCAGCAGGGGTACATCCTGGACCTGGCACAAGCCCAGACTGAGTCATGCTGCAGGCCAGCCTGCTAAAAAAAAATGTCCTGGCCAAGGAGAAGGGATGTGTGCATGTAGTCTACAGCATTAACTTATAAGCAAAAGTTTCTAGGTTAATCAACATCCCCTATCCTATAACCAAACTTGATGTCAAATGGGTTAGAAATAACAGGGTGCACGCACTGCATTTTCTGAATCTCATCTTCATCTACTTTGTGCTTCTTCTCTTTCTTCTCTTTCATCTCTAGTTTTATCTTCTTGGCTGCCGCCAATGCAGGATCCTCGGCTTCTGCTGAGCCCAATTCCAAGCTTTCTTGGCTAGTCACCTGCCGCAAGAGCGAACAATTAGCGGGGTGAGGTCTGTTGGTTCCAAACGACCCATGTCCGTCCATGGTGGCCTGTGCGCAGTACTAGGAAGCACCCCCAGAGCAGGATGATAAATATTACACCCTACACGCTTTCACCTAGGAGCCTACTGTTTGGTCAGCAGCGCATGAGCCTAGAGGGGCGGGGGACTGGGGGGGGGAGCGACTAGTCGACTACGGGATAATCTTAGGCTTGTTGGGTGGCCTAGTCCCTGCTCAACTAGTCGCTTCCCCCCCTTT